CATATAATTGTTGTAAGTGTTTTTACTGTTTCAGTATGGTGGGATTTTGGTTTCTAAATAATTCTTGTTGATGGGTTGTTTTCAGGGAAGTTCAAGCACCAGTGACTGTGAACACAGAGGATCCCAAGAAGAAACCTGATTGCTATGGAGTTTTCTGTCTTACTTATGATCTCATGGCTGTAAGTTTTCCAATAATACATGGGTTTTGTTTTACTTATTTTGTGATTGTACTCATTCTTTTTGAACTTTTGCCTCTAGTAAGTCTTGGCTAATTGATGCAGAACAGGAAAGAGAAGCTTTGATAAAACTATGAGATATTTAATATGCTTAAAGACGGGGTTGGGGGGGGGGGGTGGCGAGGCGGGGGTGGGGGGGGGGGGGTGGCGAGAAAGAATGAACTCATGCCTAATAAATTTTGGAAGGGGCAAGCATTCCTTTTAATTAATATGTTCATGCAATTTTTTCTGCTATAATGTATTCACAGGAAGAGGAGACGAAGTCTTGGAAGAAAATGATTAATATTGCTGTATCCGGTGCAGCTGGAATGATTTCCAACCATCTCCTTTTCAAGGTAAAATGTGTTTTTTCATTAATCGTGTTGAGTTGAGATCATCCTAAACATCGTAAGCATCTATACTTGATGTTTGGCTAAACTTCTATGTAATTCCAACTTGGTAAATTTTTGTTTCCAAACATCTTTGAATATGTTACTTTTTTCCTACTTATAAGTAAACAAAATTAGTTGTTTTGATAGTAAGGTTAGGGTAAAATAAGTAACTACATAATTTCCAGCTCTGACCAACAAAATAATTATTTGTTTTAAGAACTTGTTTACTTATAAGTCAAATCACATAATGGCTGAAAATGTAACTAGTTCCATGAAATTGTCAAATTCCTATTCTCAACATATGGAAGTTTCATATCCTGCTGTTTGTATCCCCTGCTGCTTATGATAAAATGAAACAAAAATACATGGAACCTTTTTGTAACATAAGAAAATTGCCTTCCTTCCAAGAGTGTGGTTAAAGTAAATTAGTCATTCTGACGATTAACATAATGATTGCAACATCATTATGACATCCAATTTTCTGGATTTTGTCCTTATAGTAGCAGCACAAAACTCTGCAATTTTCTGCGAAGTTTACTTAATGATTGGAACTTGTTCTATTATGGCAGCTAGCTTCTGGTGAGGTGTTTGGGCCAGAACAACCCATTGCGTTAAAACTATTGGGATCTGAGCGATCATTCCAAGCTCTTGAAGGTAATTTTTAAGTAGTTGCCCTCACTGTCTCATCCGAAAAGATTGAGAATATAAACTTTTGAGCAATAAATTGTGTAGTTTCTTGCATGGTTGAAGTACGCCCAATTTCCAAAACAATTTTTGCGTAATCTTACTATATTATAGTCTACGGATTGATACCAATTTCTTTAAACTTCATATAGTCTAGCAAACCTTTCCACCTACAACGTCATACATAAATGCTGGCAACTGACTGCACTGCCCGCCAAACATTAAATTTTTAGTTTTCAAGATTTCAATTACTGCATTTATTTGCTACTTAATATTGTACCAAAATTCAGGTGTTGCAATGGAACTTGAGGACTCTTTGTTTCCTTTGTTGAGGGAAGTGAGTATCGGCATCGATGCTTATGAAGTGTTCCAAGATGCAGATTGGGCACTTCTGATTGGAGCAAAACCTCGTGGACCTGGCATGGAACGGGCCGACTTACTAGACATAAACGGACAAATTTTTGCAGAGCAGGTGTCTTCTTCTTCTTAAACATCAACAAAAGTTGGGCATTTTCATATTTACGAATCCTCATAATCTTAGTTTCTTAAGTCAAAAGCAAATAGTAATATTTTCTGATAAATTTCGCAGGGAAAAGCTCTCAATGCTGTTGCATCCCGGAATGTCAAAGTTATGGTGGTGGGAAATCCATGCAATACAAAGTAATACTATATTACTCTTTTGCTTGATGCCAAGTTTGTTTGTGTTTGTTCATTTTATTTTTTTGCATTGATGCCTTACTAATTATTTTTCTTTCCTTTGAAGTGCATTGATCTGTTTGAAAAATGCTCCAGACATTCCTGCAAAAAATTTCCACGCTTTGACTAGATTAGATGAAAATAGGGCAAAATGTCAGGTCAGCCAACCATATTGAGATAATTCATGTTCTTATGTACCCTTCGTCTTGATCAAGGAAATGAATGAACTTCTCCCCACGTTTTAATGGTTTGTGCAGCTGGCTCTAAAAGCAGGAGTTTTCTATGATCAAGTATCCAATGTGACAATTTGGGGGAACCACTCGACCACTCAGGTCATTCTTCATTATAGAACATTTTTTTGAACACATTATTTCAAAAAAGTAGTTTGTCTCCTCTCTAATGGCTTGATCTTTTATATGAGGTGGTTCAACACAGTAGGTAGAAGTCTTTAGATTCACTACTCATTTATGAAAGTTGTACACATGGTATATTTTTTATGAAAAAAATGAATTTGACCTACGCTTGAAGGGGCATGTCAAAAACATATTTTAAATAACAAATTGTTTTTCCTTCTCTAACAGCTTAGGCTTTTAGATCGGGTGGTTCAACACATATAGTCTCTCATTGTTAAACTATGCCTGGTTTATATTAACAGGTTCCAGACTTTTTAAATGCTAAAATCAACGGCATACCCGTCAAAGAGGTTATCAAAGATACTAAATGGTTAGAAGAAGAGTTCACAGAAAAGGTTCAGAAGGTGAGATCTACATCTAGAGTTTCTTGTTTCAGAGCAATATGTAAAATATACAGAAGACGGTAATTGATTATATTCAAATTTGCTTTTCAGAGAGGCGGCGTTCTTATTAAGAAATGGGGACGATCTTCTGCTGCATCAACTGCTGTGTCAATTGTGGATGCAATAAGGTCTCTTGTAACTCCTACTCCTCACGGAGATTGGTTTTCTTCTGCAGTAAGTTCATAACGACTTGAATGCGTGGTTCAATTTTACACATCTGTATGTAAATTTTCAAAATATGAGATCAATTAATATTTTTTTTCCAAGATCTAGTTTATTTTTACTTTGACTATCACATTCGAACATCTTTTCACAATTGATTACGAAATAGAAATACAGAAGGGTCAAATGATCATACCTCATTGCTCTCTTACTGGGCCTACCATATTTATCCACTAAGTAGTCTTAAGAGTTTCAATTGACTTCATTCTATAAATATAGATTCCTTAAACTGAAAATAGCCGGTGCATTTTTTATGTAAAACCATTTATACTTTCTGTATTTAGCACTTGCGATTCTTCATGCAGAGTAGTTGTTGATGTTTGTTAATATCTTTCTCTTTTCTTAATTCAAATGAAATTTAAGGTATACACTGCCGGAAATCCGTATGGTATAGCAGAGGATATTGTTTTTAGTATGCCATGCAGATCAAAAGTAAGCGTCTCCTGAGATTTCCTTTCTAATAACATTTTCTCTGCTGAAGCTTTAGTTATGGATTTCAACTAACTTTTCATTCCTAAATTCCTAGGGAGATGGCGACTATGAACTTGTTAAGGACGTAATTTTCGATGATTACCTCCGCAGCCGAATAAAAAAGGTATGCTTTTATATACCAGCTGTGTAATCTTTATTCCTGATTATGGTCGAATACTCTATCAAGAAACCAGGATTTCATATGCTAAATATATAACTATATGCTCAATCTTATTTTGAAGAAATATGGGGTTGGCCATGCAAACTCGTTTTCTCTCTTAGTTACGTTTGCATCTGTTCTATTTATCACTAGATCCGCAGAATTATTGAATGCGACTAGTTGTAAATAAA